TCAAACATTAAAAACATAGCATTAAAACTTGCGAAAACCACAATCCTCAAACTCCAAAAGTTCTAATAAATAAGTACATCTTGACCAGGCACCAAAATTATGCCAGTGTCAGTGCCAATCAAGCCTCCAGATAAATAACACATGAAAAGATACCTACATGTGTGTTCAATATGCAATATTATATGCAATATTTGCAATGTTTATGCATGTAAATTAGTACATACAATAACATCTTTACCATGAGCCTTTGCTTGGATTTTCTCTCTCTCAGTTTTATAGCAGCAGAGTGCAAGACTATCAACCTATCTGTTAGCCCTCCTTTTCTTTCCACCATCCTTTCTAGAACTTTTCATCCTGCAACAACTGCATCTCAGCACCCCAGAATTCCAGAGTCCCTCCTTAGTACAGGCAGTAAGGACACTGCCATTGCACAAGTCAAAGTTCCAGGAAATTTTTTGGGGGGGTGCCTCATAGAAAAGGTATAACTACACAGGTAGTTAAGTGGAAGAGGAAGAGAAGGGACATAGCTCACAGAGGATTGGCTTCAGACCAGTAATATTAGACTGTTTAAGAACTACTTATAACTAAGAAATACTAGACTGCTTTTGAGATGCAGTGTGGTTCAGCAGACTAGAATTCATGATTGCTGAGTTCAAATCCCCACTCAGCCACGGAAACCCATTAGGGGGGTTGGCACTGGAAAAAGCACCCTTAAATCTCTCACATACCTTGGATTTCAAAGGGGCAGAGGAACTAGAGACCAAATTGCTAACATGCGCTGGATTATAGAGAAAGCCAGAAAGTCCCAGAAAAACATCTACTTCTGCTTCATTGACTACACAAAATATTTGCCTTTGACTGTGTGGACCACAGCAAACTATGGCAAGTTCTTAAACAAATGGGAGTGCCTCACCACCTTACCTATCTCCTGAGAAATCTATATGCGGGACAAGAAGCAACAGTTAGAACTGGACATGGAACAATTGATTGGTTCAAAATTGGGAAAGGAGTACAACAAGGCAGTATATTGTCCCCCGGCTTATTAACTTATATGCAGAATATATTATGCGAAAGGCAGAACTGGATGAATCCCAAGCCGGAATTAAGATTGCCGGAAGAAATATCAACAACCTCCGATATGCAGATGATACCACTCTGATGGCAGAAAGTGAGGAGAATTAAAGAACCTCTTAATGAGGGTGAAAGAGGAGAGCACACACACACACAAAAGGTCTGAAGCTGAACATTAAAAAAAACTAAGATCATGGCCACTGGCCCCATCACTTCCTGGCAAACTGAAGGGGAAGATATGGAGGCAGTGACAGATTTTACTTTCCTGGGCTCCATGATCACCGCAGATGGTGACAGCAGCCACAAAATTAGAATACGGCTGGTTCTTCCAAGGAAAGTGATGACAAATCTCGACAGCATCTTATAAAGCAGAGACATCACCTTGCCAACCAAAGGCCGAATAGTCAAAGCTATGGTTTTTCCTGTAGTGATGCATCGAAGTGAGAGCTGGACCATAAAGAAAGCTGACCGCCGAAGAATTGATGCTTTTGAACTGTGGTGCTGGAGGAGGCTCTTGAGAGTTGCAAGGAGAACAAACCTATTCATTTTGAAGGAAATCAACCCTGAGTGTTCAGTAGAAGGACAGATCCTGAAGCTGAGGCTCCAATACTTTGGCCATCTCATGAGAATAGAAGACTTCCTGGAAAAGACCCTGATGTTGGGAAAGTGTGAAGGCAAGAGGAGATGGGGACAACAGAGGATGAGATGGTTGGACAGTGTCATTGAAACTACCAACATGAATTTGACCCAACTCTGGGAGGCAGTGGAAAACAGGAGGGCTTGGTGTGCTCTGGTCCATAGGGTTAGGAAGAGTCAGACACGACTTAACTAAACAACAAAGGATTCTGGATTTTCACATATCTGATACTACAGGACTACGTTTGCACAGAGTCTGCAAAAACTCTTAGTCAAAACAAAAATTGTTATCAGTATAATGGCAGCTTGCTGGATTGTAGATTACGGACCATTAGAGTTATACTATATACAACAATACAACTTCCTATTGAAAAATTATTCCTGGATTTTTAAGCATTTGGACATTCAAGACCTGGTGATAAGTTTTGTTCATAGTTAGGAAGAAAGGAAAACAATAGGTAAGAAGTATAAATATAAGATACACTTCATTCATTCAATTCATCATCAGAACTCCATGCTGCTTTGGACACCGGACATCAAAGATCAACCATCATCATGGATTTCCCTCCATGAACTAACACAAGGCTGGCCTGGCTTTATGAGCACTTAGGGTAATTTTCTGTGTGTGTTCTTAATATCCTTATAGTCTAATACCATTATTTTCTTTTACTTTTTTTACGTTTAACAGTTTTAATATTAAGAGATGCATTCTCTGACTTTGGTTTTTAAATCTGCTTTTTAAAGCTACAAGTTCTTGCATTTTTAGAAAGTAACTTAAAACGTAAAGAATGAAAGAAATATACACTACTTTTATTTGGGGGCATGAGAGAACTGGTCAGATTTATTTAGAACATTTCAAAGAAAAATAAATGGATGAAATTAAGAGTGGCAAGGAACTGTTTGTAGTTTTTAAGATTTAAAATAAAAGAAAGTGTATCATAACTTGCATTAGAAAATACTGCGAGGCATATGAGATGGGATTTCTGCATGAACAGAGCCCCACATAAAGATGACAAGAAGTAATGATAGGTTATCCGTCATATAATTACCGTTATCTGTTACAGGTATTTGTCACTTTTATCAGAGTTGTTACAGTTGTCTATTACACCAGAATAAGGCCTGAAGTATAAATGGTAATTTGAGTTATGTGCAGGACCGCATTGGTATTGATGGTTGTTTTAAGTAACATTTTAACAGAACAGTATAGGAATGGCTTGGATGTCATATTGTTGGTGCTTTCTTTTCCTTCATCAATATAATATGTGATCAAACTATATAAAAATAAGAGGCAGGGATACTGTAACACATACAGTAACACATACCTTCCTCTTATGTCTGAGGAAATGGGCTTGTCCACAAAAATTCACATAAAAATATAGCAGTTAGCCTTTAAGATGCCATGTTTTGGTCCTAATTTTTTTTTCACTTGATATGTAACACATACTATATTTCTCCCTTGAATTGCACGGGCTTGAGCAGCACAGTTTTGGTTATACTTGTTTGTTTGTTTTTTCAAAAAATGAATAAATATTCCAATAATGAAATATTTAGGAAAGAAATATTCAATAAATACTAAGCCCCTGGCCACCCAGAATTGCATGTTCAACACTGAAGTTATCGAAGTGATCCACTTCCCCCAAACACAACATTTCTAATTAAGCCTCTAGATCAAGGGGCCAAAAGGACCTTTAAGGCTCATTACACACGGTAATGTATGGGAAGGATTGTCAATGCTATGGAAGAGAACCCCAATAGAGAGAACTGTTCTGTATGTATCTGCCTGTTAATCAGCTATTTACACTTTGTAGTTACAGTTACACAAGAATTTTGAGCTGCATGGGGTGTCTGGCTTGTTGAAGGGAGAAGTTTATATACCTTTTAACAAATTTATCCTTCTATATTCACAGTTAGAGGCAGATATTTAAAACCTCTCAAAGGAATGAAATCTCCCACAGATGTTCACTACCTATAGCTCAATTTGCACTTTTTGATGTTTAGTGTCATTTGGAGATGGTTACATCTTACCAACTTTGTGCAGAAATTATCTGTGGGAAAGGCTTGAGAGTTAAGGTTCATTTCATGCATTCTCCTGGAAGAACTGTTATTACTGGGAAACTTAATTGCTGAACAGACATTTTTCCAGAGCATTAGCTAGATGTTTGTCATTCAGGTCACTCTTGATCACAGAAAGGAAAACAGAGACTTTTCTGGGCATTTTATAATTGGTCCAACCCACCCGAACAACATTTTATGAAATGGATTACCACCTTGGAATGCTGTTCATATATGGACGATACACAGCAGCAGTTATACCATCATAATAACCTGTGATACATTAATAGGATTCTTGGTATGGCAATAAATGTTTGTTGGAAATAAACCTTGGGTTCTTATGCTTTACTGGGTTTTGGATTCTGACCAGCTGTTTTATACTGTCTCTGCTAGAAGAAACCTTTTTATGGTACATTTTTAATGGCTTTGCGGTTTTCAGCTATTGTAGTTTTGTGTTTGTATTGCACTTTGTTCACATTTGTCTGTAAGAAGCCCTGACCATATTTGTCGAAGGGTGCTAATATGTACTGTGAACCCTCAACTTACGAAGGTCCATATGGTACATTTTTAATGGCTTTGCGGTTTTCAGCTATTGTAGTTTTGTGTTTGTATTGCACTTTGTTCACATTTGTCTGTAAGAAGCCCTGACCATATTTGTCAAAGGGTGGTAATATATACTGTGGACTCTCAACTTACAAAGGTCCGTACTTATGAAAATTTCGAGGTATGTAAAGCTCCGGCCACAAAATTTTGGTTCCACTTGGGGCTGGAGCTTCGACCTATGAAAGGCAGGGGGAAAGGGCGGGAAACGCAAAGCCTCCCCTGCTGCCCTCTGCCTCCCATCCCCGCTGTCCTCTGCCTCCCGTCCCGCTGGGACAGGAGGCAGAGCGCAGTGGGGTCCCATCCCTGCTGCCCTCTGCCTCCCGTCCAGCGGGGACAGGAGACAAGAGGGCAGTGGGTGCAGCTTTGGAAGCCCAGGATTTTTTTCCTTTGGATGGAACGGATTAAATGGTTTTCAGTGCATTCCTATGGGAAATGGACCCTCGACCTACAGACTTTTCGAACGGATTAATTCCGTAAATCATGGATCCTTATTGTTGCAGGTTAAGCCATGAATGGCGGGAGGGCCGAAAAAGGAGTTTGCTCAATTCCCCTCAGGCTGCCCCCCCCTTGGCTTGCCTTGCCCCGCCCTGGCGTGTGCCTGTGCCCCGTGCCTGATGTGTGAAGGGCTGCTTCCTCACCCGCTTGTTGCGGTCGGTCTCCCTCACGTCCTCCTCTTCGGGCCCTTGGCGGAGGAGCGCCCGCAAGGCGAGGACGTTGTTGGTGCAGCAAGCTTTGAAGAGCGAGACCGGCTCGGGGCTGTCCGAGGGGTCCGACTCGCCCAGCGACCAGTCGTCTTCGTCGTCGTCGGCCCGCGGCGGGTAGAAAGAGTCGTCTGAAGCGATGCTCCGCGTGTCCGGGAGGTACGAGAAGTCCTCGTACTCTTCGTACTCGTCCTCTCCTCCTACTTCGCCCTCCGCGCCGCCGCCGCCGCCGGCTGGGCTAAGGGCGGCGGCGGCGGAGGCATTCCCCTCTGCTCCCGCCCCTCCGGGTCCCTCGGCTTGCCCTTCACGGACCGCGGGGAGGGCCAGCAGCTGCCTCCCTGAGGCGGGACTCCGGCTTTCCCCGACGTCCTTCCCGTCACCAGACAGAAGCACCATAGTGGCCTCCCTTCCGAGGGGAAGGCGGCGCGCTGGGTACTCGCTTCTTCCTGGCCCGGAGTGTCGGGGGCTTTCACCTCAGGGTGCAGATGGGCACCCCTGGGGCACCGCTCCTCCCGCACGGGTACATGCGCGTACCGAAGGGCCCCCTCCGCGAAAATCCCTGGGAGCGAAGAGGGAGGGGGCACCCGCGACATAGATCACCCTGGCGTCCCCCTGAACTGAGAGAGAAACGGGGACCCTGCCCGAACCCCCCAACCTAGTCACGGAAAATCCAACCGTGGACAAAGTGGGTGCAGTCCCAAATCCGCCCAGCCCCATACACGCCGGTGAACTCTAAATCAGAGGCGGGCTTGTGAACATTTACAAGAAAGCCACGCCGGGTAAGCTCTGGAGAAGGTGGAAAGGTGCCCCCAAGGGTGTCAACATATTGACGTGGGATTTCAACATATCGACATCCCCACGATCCCGCTGAGATCTAAAGGAGAAAAAGACCGAGAGGGTGGGACTCGCCCGGGCATGACCAGCCTAGGCATTAAAGTTCGGAAGGGAAAAAGGAGGCGAGCCCCCCGGGTGCGCACGGGACACTTTCCTCCATCGACCCAAACGCAAAAGGCAGCATCCCGCTAGAGAGGAAAAGGGGGCACTGGCGCCCCCACACAGTCCCCCCTTCACGTTGACAAAGAGGGAAGGGCTCCCGGCCCCACAGACACTCAAGAAGTCAAATCAGGTCTGCAGGAACGAGGAAATCCTCCGGAGGACACGCACGGGGAAGACGCGCACCCTCTCCGCCGCGGGCGCTCTTTTTATCCGCCTGGGTGTGAACTTCGAGGCCAAGAGGCTGGCTGTTCCTTCTTCACCGTCCCATCCGTCCCAACCTCGGCTTCTTTTGAATGAACCGCTCTGCCCTGGCCGCTGTTTGGATCCCAAAGTCCGGCTAACGTTGATGACTCCAAAACTTCCCAATATTCGGGAGAAAAAGGCAGTTTCGGTCAGGGGCGCCCAGATAAACGCGTGGCCCTCGCAGCACCTCCTTTCCTCTTAACTTCCAACCTTCCGAATAAGAGAGAACTTTTGACGGGGGCAGGAATGAAAAATATAACTCTTCCCCCCCCCCTTTCGCCGCCGCTTTTTAACACGTTCGGACGTGTTTTCCCTCAAAGGGGAAACCCAGGTTAGCTTCTGGCCTCAAGCAAGCCACTTGTGGATCAACTGCTGCTGCGGCACCTTCTCTTTCTCCGGAGCGGAGCGGGGCGAGGCGTCTCTTCCCGATTAAAAAAAAAAAAAACCGCGCTCTCCGATTTCCAGAGTGGTCGCGCTCGTGAGGATGGATCGCGTGCTTTTCCCGCCAGAAACAGAGGGCGCTGTCCTTGGGTTTCTACCGCGATGCCGAGGCGCCAAGCGGGAAGCGGCCGGACTTAAAAATCCTGCCAAAGCGACCCAAAAAATTGGAGAGCATCGCCTGCAGCTCAGCCGAAGGAAACTGAGGAGCTGAGCTTTGGAACAAAACATTTGTGACGATGAGCCATGCTGTCGCCGGCCTTCGAGAAGGTCCACACACACACACACACACCCTGCTTGGCGATCCCCCTAACGCCGAGGGCAGCAAAAGAAAAGCCGGGGGGGGGCGCGCAACAACCGCCAACCGCCGCCCTAAAACAATACAGGCAGCGACCAGTCCTATATTCCAAACAGGGTTCGGGAAAGGCTGGAAGGAGGCGGCAGAGCAACTGACACATTTAGAAAACTCCTGGCAAGTGACTCCTAATCCGATCACCAGAAGATTGAGGCTCCAGCTTAGCATGTTGACATCAGGGACACATTTGCCAAGCGATTTACATGCAGCTGCCCATGCTAGCTTTCATGCACCAGCGCAGAAAATTGCCACTGACAGGTGAGTAATGCGCATTCCTTGAACGTCTTCAACTTCCTTACCTCCTTCTGGGCTTTTTCTTTCATTTCTCTCCCCCCCTCCCCGCCTCAGTTCAGTAGTTTGCTTACATTTATGGTTTAGATAACATTCCACAATAAGCCATCTCCCATTTCCTCCGGCTTATTGTCAGATGTTTCCATACATCCTGAGCGGTGAGCGTGAACAATCAGGGAAAGATTACATTAAGCATGGATGGAGTTGCTCCAGCGGCTGAACATACCAGGAGTGCTAGGTATTCTCATGACTCATACCTTTTCAGGAACCCATAGATCTGGCGGAAAGGAACTTGGGGGGGGGGAAACCTATATAATAATGCTGTTGCAACTAATTACAGTTAGATAGTTATACCCGGACATGTAAATAAAGGATTTTTAAAATTCAAAATGTGTTTGATGATAATCCTGAGCTACTTGGTGTTTTCTTGGAAACAAAATATTTTCAGGCTTGAAGTTACAAACTTCCCTTAGATTGAGAGTAGGGTCCTGGGAGGCAGGTAGAAAAGCCAGCACTGGTTCTTTTGGCCTCACGGCATTTCTTTGACCAAAACAATATAGCAGTTGGTAATGTACAGAACCTTTATCATAAGAAACAGCCCAGAGTCAAAGGCTTGGTTTGGTTGCAAGGTAGCATTTGCAAGCACAGCACAGCTGCTTAATAAGATTACAGTTTTAAATTCCTCTGATCTGTTCCATTCATCATGCATTTGAGTGATGTATATTTAGAATTCTGTACTTTGCTTATCCAATGTCTGTCACTCATTTGCCTGATGGTTCTTTCAGTTTTTTTCCCCCCATAGAAATTCCGATAGAGTTCTGTTCGCTATCTCTCCTGCCCTTCAGGAGAGAAGGAAAGCCTTGCAGGCTGCTGTTATCTGCACTTACAACTGAGAATGCTACTAAATCAGTTATCTTTCATCAGACCAAAATATTGTTGGATTTTAAAAACCGATAAACAAGTTTTTTAATACACACACACACACACATACACACATCCAGGTTTTCACACTGTAACTAGAAATAGTGTTATATACCTTCTAAAGGTAAGCTGTGAGAACCTAATTACTGGATTTATAACTATAGCAAAATGCATCTAAAATCTGGGCAAGTAACTTGCACCAACGAGAGTTGTATGTAGATGCAAAGTGGCTGTTTATATATTTTTCTGGAGTGGGAAATCTGTACTTATCCTCAAGGTTGGTTTAACTACTGACATAACCAGTGACTGGATGTCATGGTATAAAGGGGCTAAAGTCCTCAACAATACAATCCTAAACATACTTGCAAGGGAGTAAAGCTCCACTGAAGACAGTGTGACCTATTTTTGTTCTAAGTACAGTAATTATCCACAGGATTGCTCTCCATCAAAGGAGTTGCTCGTAGCCTTGCACTCAATTACAGTTCCCGTGGTTCTTTGCAAACTGACTCGCATTTGATATGCTTGTGTGCTCTGATGAAGGCTAGCAGGGTAAGGTGATGAGAAAGCTAAGAGTAAAGCAGCAAGGGAGAAAAGATAAAATATAGTGAAGAAAAGTCAGGGAAATAAAAGAGAAAAACATCAAAGGAAGAACAGCAAATGAACACATCAACATAATGCTACACAACAAGAGAATGAAACACTCTATTCTATTTGTTTTAATTGCTATTTTCATTATAATAATTTATTCTGAACCAATAAAATGTTGATAATCTCAACAGATATTTTGAAATACAGTGGTACCCCGCTAGATGCTTACCCCGCATGACGTCAAAATCGCTTGACGATGACATTTTGCAATCGCTATTGCAAAACGATGGTTCCAATGGGGGAAATCTGCTTTATGTTGATTAGGAGCCTGCTTCGCGAACCATTTGTTCGCAAAACAATGTTTTTTCCTGCTCCGTAAAATGGCTTCCCTCCCTTCTCAAAATGGCTGCTTTCTGGACGGAAGCTTCGCATTACAGCAAATTAGAACAGCTGATTGGAGGTTCTCTATACACAATCTTCGCTGGATGATGAGGTATTTTCCCCATTGGAACATAGTGCATTCCAATGGGGATTTTTTTCGCTTGACAGCGATTTTGCTCAACAGCGATTTTTCTGGAACTGATTATCGTCGTCAAGCAGGGCACCACTGTAATACAATGTATTGCAGATTTTTAGTTCTTGGGGCAAGTGTTCTCTGCACACTGTTGTTTAGTGCCATGAGGTTGCTTCTGAAGTATGGAAAGCATAATACAGTAAAGTTTTCAGTATATGCAAGATGTCCAGGAAGTGGCTTTACCATTATCCATAGCCAAGTAGGGATCTGAACGCAGATCTCCTGATTCTTAGTCCAAGACTCTATCCACTAAACTGCACCGGCTCTTTCTAAAGACATACTAACAGATTCTGCTCTGTCTTATCCCTCTGCAGCTACTCCTGTGGCTTTTAAAATGCCATCAGTCTGCTATGACCATTTGTGTATGATCTGAGAAGAAAGACTTGTCTAGGAAGATACTATAGTACAGTGTTGAAATACATGATTCATATACAGAAGGTCCAGTTTTATCTTTGAGATATCCATTCAGAATACTGTACTGAGTTTCCATGTGACATGAAAGGCCTCTGCTCAAGACCCTGGATAGCATTTGGCAATGAAAATAGCCAATATTAAACTAGATGAACAGTGTGACTAGATACAGGACAGTGCTGCTTAGTTTTCGTCACAACTACACAAAATAGAAAGCTACGTGTATTTAGCAACAGAGTGTGGCAGGAGAAGAATTCTACCACTGACCTCTACAACAGTCACTATTACTATAATTCAACATGGCCCAGGTGTAGTGCTTCGTAATTTGTGGCCTGAGGTACAATTGAACTCAGCCCTGACATAAGCTCCAAACCTTTTTACCTTGAAACCCTTGTACACCAATCTCATGTATGATATTGTTGTGCCTCAAATATGAAATTCATTCTGCACGTGCACAAAGGCACTCTCTTCATTAGACTTCATACGTTTCACAGGTTTATTGGTACTGGCAAGTTCTGTTACAAATAAAGACATTTGTTTGAGCCTGCCAAAAACATTTAACAGGTTGAGTGTGTTTTG